CCATTTCCCTGGTCCATTCACTCTCCTACTCTTCTCAATAACTACTTTACACCTTCTCTTTGCTCAAAACTCCCACCTCTCCTTTCTCACTTTTAGCTGTATCCTTACTTCTTCAACTCATTGAGAAAAAAGAGCTGTCAAATCTCTCAGCCACTCCCCCAACCACCTATACAAATGCATATCATCTTGTTTTCTTTTTTTTTCTTTTTTCTTTTTCTTTTTTTTTAATATATCATCTTATTCTCATTCCTGCTTTTTTTCCTATGAATGAATCATCTTTCTTCCCATCTAAGATAAACCCTTTCATCTGTATATGGGACCCCAACTCCCTCCACTCCAGCAACTATCCCCATCTCTTCCATCATAATTATCCCCCTTGCTCCTGGATCCTGCCCATCAGTTAATAAACATGCTTTTATATCCTCCACCTGAACGAAAACCTTGCCTTAACATTCCCCTCTAGCTATTGGTCCATTTCTTTGTTGCCTTTATAATAAAACCCCTTTAAAGAAACATCTTTGAGGGGCTGGGGATTTAGCTCAGTGATTCTGGCACCTGCCTCACAAGCGCAAGGTCACAAGTTTGATCCCCGGCACCAAAAAAAAAAAAAAAAGAAAAAAGAAACATCTTTGATATCTTTTCATCTGTTTCTGAAGTTCTCTTTACTCCATTAAGACATCTGTCCCCACAACTCATTTATACTGCCTTTGACAAGCTCACCAATGACCTCCCCATTAGACATAGCCACACATAGCACTAGATATAGTTGATTTCTCCTTGAGACACGTTGTCCTCTAGGCGTCATCTCTTTCTTCATTCTCCTCCTACCTCATTAGCTGCCCATTCTTGTTCTCTTTTGCTGGATCCTCCCTATTTTCCTGAACTCCAAATGTTGGTGTTCCCAGGGACTGAGTCCTTAGATCTCTTATCTTCTCGCAGGTCCCTGAGTTCATGGGATATATAGTTTTGAATTCTGGGGCTCCACTCAGGACTCCAAGTCTATATATCTCAGCTCTGACTCTCCCCAGAACTCCAAATTTATCTATGACATTGCTTACCAAACATCTCCACTTGGATGGCCAACAGGCATCATGAACATCACACATTTAAAGATTTTTTGTTTCTCTCTTTTTTTTTTTTTTTTGGTACTGGAGATCAAATTCAGGTCCTTGCACTTGCGCAGCAGGCGGCAAAGAACATTACACATTTAAATCAACTGCTCAAGTTAGAAACCTTAGGGTCAGCCTCAACTCCTCTTTTCCTCCAGCTGCTCATATAGGTCATTAGCAAACCTGCTTGGCTCAGTTTTTGAGAAACAGCATAGCCCTGACTCAACTAGATTTCAGCTCTCTAGTGCTACTGTACTGACTCAGGGAACATAGATACCTCACCTGAGCCACTGCCGTCCCTTCCCAAGTGGCCCTCCGGCTCCCATGCTTGTTCCCCTATTGTCTCTTCTCCACACAGGATCCAGAGGGCTCCTTTAGTTATCTATGTCATTTCAGATCACTCTTTGCTGAGACCCTCTGGCAGCTTCTCATCTCAGAATAATATCCAAAGGCCTTCCCGTGGCCTGCAAGGCCCCCCTGGCCTGCCCTCACCTAGCCCCTTGGACTTATCCTCTATACTTTTCAATCTCACAAGGCCCACTAAAGCCACTCCAGCATCCTTGCTGCCCCTTTTGTTCCCTCACAAGTATGATCTGCACCCGGGCCTTTGCACTTTGCACTTCCCTCTGTTTCTCCCTCGTAACTGTGTTGCTTTCCTGAATAGCTGTTTTCTGCTCAAAGGAAACTTGTTGAAAGTGTCTTCCTTGCCAATACTAAATAAAGTAGTCTCTTGGCCAGGGATATAGCTCAGTGGTGCCATGCCTGCCTGGCAAGCACAAAGTCCTGAGTTTGATTCCTGGTACCGGAAAAATATGAAAATAAAGTAGTCTCACTTCTTATTAACTTTTCACTAGTTTAGTTTTTCTTTCTTAAGACTTATCCCTAACTGACACACTTACTCCATTTGCTGGTTGTCTGTCTCCCTAAGTAGAATGTCAGGGACAAGGACTGTCTTTTGTACACTGTGATTCGTATTGCCCGGCATGAAGCACAATAAATACCTGTTCAATGAATGAACAAACGAAGAATGATTTGATGTCAAAGAAGGCAGCCGCTGCCACCTGCCTTGCAAGCACAAGGACCAGAGTTTGATCCCCAGTACCAAAAAAAAAAAAAGATGCCAGCCAATGATGGAATGCTGGATACAGTGACAGTAAATAATTCCATGATTAGGTTGAAAAGGAAGGGGTAGTGGTAAGAACAAATGATACTCACTGTATCAGGAACCAGGCAAGAAAAGAATTTCAAAGAAAGAGTTCAGATTCAACTTCTATCAGGGTCTATCTACCTGAACACCACTCCCTGGATTAGCCCTAGAAATGCACAGCTGACCTCACGAGAGCAGTTTCAGCGGTGGAGGGAGGAAGCCAGACTGCAGGAGGCTTAGCAAAGAGCAGGAAATAAGACAGTGAACTTTCCCAGTAGAGGTGGGAGATGCTGGAGTTGGGGGTAGGAGAGGGGAGTCTGGGGGAGGAGAGGCAACCGGAAGACCTTAGGTTTTGATAACATTTGCTAAAGTCATGGATGAGCAACGCTGATACCTAACAACTGCAGCAGCTTCCTGTCTGGTCTCCCATCCCTACAACATCCTGTGCTAAGGCCAAATTAATCTTCTTTGAGCATAGATCTTGCCCACTCCCAAGCTCAGAACCTACCCTAAACTCCCGTGTGCCTAGAGATAAAGCTTCAGCTCAGCATTTAGGTTTTCCATGATCTGATTCCAATCAAGTACTCCCTACATCTCTCTTCTTACCCTGGTATGCCACGTTATGAAGTTGCCCTGGTCTCCCAGTAGGAAACCAGCTCTCCTATATGCACACACCTCTGAGTGTCTTTCAGCACCCAAAAGTGAGGATGTAATTGTAAAACATGTCTTATCTCTTCTAAGACACCATCAGTTCTTTGACAGCTGCATCCATGCCAGACTGATCTTAATGTCTTTGCAAGGCAAGTGCTCAAATATTGGAGCAAATAAGGAATAACCCCACTGCGTAGGCCTTGGTACTTGGCGCTGATTTAGCCTGGAGCTGCGTAAATGAAATCAAAAGTTGACAGATAAGAGGCTCGGCCAGGGCGCAGGTGGCCGCCTCCCCGTCACGGCACCCGGCAGTTAGAAGCCTGATTCTCCTCCTGATCAGGGCTGGACTTGAACGACTGCAGCGGCGGCGGCGCAAACCGGAATTACTATTGCTTGGCACTTCTGTTTACAGGCTGAGAGGCTGAGAACAGAATGACTGCAATGAAATCCTGAGCCATTTGGCCGCCTTCGCAGTTTCTCCACTGAGTGAAATGAAGCCTGCCCAGTTTTCCAAATTAAGCTGTGCCATTTACTTACCAGTTCTGCGCTCTCAGGAAATACAGTAAGCCCTTCCCAGCCTCAGTTTCTCCACATGTCCTCTGCCAAACGCTTGGGGCATTAGGAGGGTCTAGCGGATGTGAAAAGAGTGGTCACAGCCTGTAAAATGCTGCTGGGTACATGGAAAGAATTTCAACCAATTCCCACAGTGTGTTCACTGAAGCAGTCAGTATCTTAACCAAAAGCTACTTAAAGCAGTTTCTGAGGACCAGAAGCGGTGTTTTCAAGTTTCTTAAATCTAGTTTTAATCAGACATATGGTGTATCTTTGTTTAAAAAAAGAGAGAGGGGCTGGGGATTTAGCTCAGTGGTTCAGCTGCCTGTCTTGCAAGCACAAGGTCCTAAGTTCCATCCCTGGTACCAAAAAAACCCACAACTAAATGGCTTTCACTATTCAATATTGAAGGTAAAATCAGAACTGTGATTCATTCATTAATTCCTTGGCTTGAGGTTCTGGAGTCAACTTTCATCAGTAAGATGACAGACAAGTTGGTTTCCATCTCCTCCCAGAAGCCTTGCTCATCAGTTAAGGAGAGTTAACCACATTAATTTCTCTTTTAGACTTGCTCAAGGAAACAATCAAGTTCTCTTCAAACACAAATCCCTAGGGGCTAAGAGTGTAGCTCAATGGTAGGGTACGTGCTTTGCATCCTTGAGGCCCTAAGTTCAATCCCCAGTACCAACACATACAAATCAGACACACACATGTACATACAAGCCTACAAAAGGATATAAAGAATTGACTCCATGAAGACAAACAGCATAAATCTCCTTTGTCATAGAACATTTTATCAGATGTGAGAAGATATTTTGGCAACCTTCTCCGCTGGGCCTCACAAAAATTCAGGGAGAAAAGCAGAGCAAGGATGACTATTCTCCTTTCAAAGATGACACAACAGGGTTGGAAAAGTTCAGTTATTTAACCAAGGTCCCACTGCTGGTTAGTGGAAGAGAGGGACATCTTTGCACGTCTTCAAATTGCCCTCAACATGCTCACACAGCCAGCCATCAGTATCCACCGATTCAATCAACCACAGATCAAAAATATTTGGAAAAAAGCGTGTCTACAGACAACATGTAGACTTTTTTTCCTTGTCACTAGTCCTTACTATTACATAACAAATATCCACATAGCATTTTCATTACAATAGGTGCTGTAAGTAAATCATCTAGAGATGATTTAAAGTATGCAGGATGATTTGTGTAGGTTGTATGCAAACATTATACCATTTTATATACAGGATTTGAGCATCCATAGATTTTCTTATTCAAGGAGAATACTGGAACCAATCCCTCATGGATAAGGAAGGAGGACTGTCTTCTGGTTGTAGAGGTAAAATACAGAAATCATGAAGAAACAATGCCCCATGCACAGAAGAGACTCCATTAATACCTATTGGTGGTGGTAGTAGTGGCACCATGACAGTGATAGTGGAAATGACATGGCAATGGTGACTATGATCATGATGATGGAGAACACAGGCACAGAGGGTACGTGCTAAAGGACCAGAAATGATGAGTGTTAAGGGAGCTCACCTGAGTCCTCTCCATACCAGTCAGTCTGAACGTCCATCATGGAACTCATGGCTACTCCCACACCTTCTGGTCTTCCCTCCAAACCTCGAGAAAAGTGATGGTCAGCGTCATCTTTGCTCTGGACAGCACCATTGTGCAAGAGAGCCTCCAGGAACTGCTTCACGTGATAGTTACTATAGGCCAACTCCATGGCTTGGCCTCTGGGCAGGCTGTCCTCCACATGGGCCAGGCTCAGTGGGGCTGTGTATGGCTGCAGCTGCTCCCCAACCTCCACCTCCACCTCCGCAGCATCGAATTCCACCTTGGGCTCTACTTGTTTGGACAGAATAGAGTGGTCGCTGTCAGCCGAGCCACTGCCATGTCGATCTTTCACCACCAGTTCCAAGGGGTGGCAGTCCCCACAGTCATCACAAGGAGACTCTCTTCTATAGTTCACACTCTCTTGTCCTTTGGCAGGGGAAGAGACCAAGCTCTTGGTACCACAAGAGGTCCCCTCCTTGCCTAAACTGGGGCTTCCACAGTCAACGTGATGGGCTGCAGCCGCTGCTGCAGCTGCTGCCACCGCTGCAGCCACAGCAGCCTCCTTCTCCATCTTTCGGCAAATATCAAGGGAAGACCTGATGTAGGTCTTGCAGAAATTCACCACGTCATTCATCTGCAGGTAGCTGGCAGCTGACATAACTTCAATTACATTCTCCCCACACAAATCCAACTTCCCAGAATAAAGGAAATCTAAAATGGTGGAGAAGGCATCAGAGGTGACAATGTCTAAGGAGGCAGTGCTATGTTGCTCGCTGTCCTGGATATAGTGAATGAGCAGGGCCCGGAAGTAGCCGCTGTTAGCAAACAAAATGTTCCTGTGGGCCTTGAAGATGCGCCCTTCCACAATGATGCTGCAGTCGCAGAAGAAGTCCCTCTTCCTCTGTTCATTCAGCTCCCCCAAGAGCTTGGCATAATAGGTCTGCATCTCCATTTCTCCACTGGCTGCTGCTGCTCTGGAGTAGCCTGTATCTCTGCCAAGATTTTTGTTACGTTAACTCACAAATTTCAGCCTTACAAAAACAAGATGTTCATTTATAAAAAAAATTCTTCTGAAACCATTGGTTCAATAATGTCTTCAATTCCCAGTACCGGAAAAAAAAATAGTGTCTTTATGATACAGGTTCTTTTGAATCTAATAAAAATGAGCAGCTATCCAACTGTGCTAATTGATGAAAAACGAATAAAAAATAACTATAGATAACTGCATGGGGGCACAGTCCTTAATGGTTTATATAGATTCTAAGACTTTTTAAAAAATAACTCTATAAGTACTAATATTGTTCCCATTTTTCCAAAAAGGAAATTGAAGATAGGAGATGACCTAGCTGTAATAGAGCCAGGACTCAAAACTGGGTCTGTCTGCCTCTAGAGTCAATGCTCTTGTGCATTGTATTCCACTTTCATCAAGACTCAAATTATCGAAAATACCTAAATCTACATTTATTTATTTATATATTTTTCAGTACCAGGGATCAAACTCAAGACCTTACACTTTCCAGGCAAGTGTGGCACAGAAAATACCTAAATCTAAAAGTATAGTTCAGTCTCAGTGTCCCAATGTGGACTTTGCAACTGGCAAACACAGGCTTAGCTCACACTTTTTATCATGACTTTGAGAAAATATCTGGAGGATCCCTGGGCTAGTCAGCATGCATTGCTCATTCTAATGGTTCCAGTGCCCTTGTAGGCCTCTACAGGACCACCTTTCCCCATTCGTGGCCAATGTGCTTTACACAAAGTTGGCACCATCCCCAGGCTCCAAGTACATCAGATGTAATACAGGCTACTACACTCGCTGTATCCCACCCTTTGACCACCAGTGATTGGCCCAGAGATGGCTACATGGCTCGGTTAGAGCCTATGGAAAACAATGAAACATTTGCTGGCCTTTCAGAAAAAGCGCACTCTCCTCTGGGGCCATACAGACGTGAGGGATGCTGCAGCCTCACCACCAGGGAACCAGCCTAACAAAGACAGCAGGCCAGTCAGTTAACAGAAACTAGGGACACCATCTGAGCCCCAGCTCAAACTGTGCCAGAAGCCAATTAAGTCCCTTTTTTGCTTTAGCTAGTCTGAGCTGCATTTTCTATTGTTTGCAACTGAGAGACTCCTAACTGACTGAACTCCACTACCTTTAGTTAATTCCTTCCTATTATTTCTCTTTGGGCCCTTCTTTGTCAGTGGACTATAACCCCTTGGAAGATACAAGCCATGCTAACCCTCAGCACCTGGCACTTTTAGATAAAGTATGTTTGCTAAGTTAAAAACAACATTCCTGGGCCGGGGATTTAGCTCAGTGGTTCCGCTGCCTGCTGCCTGCCGCCTGCCGCGCCTGCCTCACAAGCGCAAGGTTCCGAGTTCAAGCCCCAGGCCAAAAAAAAATTCTTTTTTTCTTCTTTTTTTTTTCCTTTTGAGACAAGGCTCTAACTTAGTTATTTTTCTTGTTGCTGGGAGAAAAGAACTGACATCCACAAGTTAAAAGAGGAAAAGTTTATTTCAGCTCACAGTTTGTAGAGGTTTCAGTCCATAATCAGCTGGCTCCAAGGCAGAGTGGGATGGCAGAGGGGCATTACAGAGGAGAAAGTCCATGGCGTGGGAGGCAGGAAGCAGGGAGCTTGCCTTCCCCTTTTATCCCATCTAGGCTACAAGTCTTTTGGGTGGTGCCACTGACACCCAGGGTGGGGCTTCTGTCTTCAGTAAATCCATTCAACCATAACCAGAGCTATGCTAATTCCAACCAGTGGATTAATTTATTATCACATGCCCTTAATCCCAGTGTCACCCTCTAGAGCTAGCAAGCTCCAAAAAGCCCCATCTGTGAGCACATGAGGCTTTGGGGAGACATCTAGATACAAGCCATAAGTTAGCCCAAGCTGGCCTTGAAATTCCAAACCTCCTGCCTCAGCCTTCCAGGTGTTGGGATCACATCTAGCTGGAACATACTTCTCTTAACTGCTATATAGAACAAGTATAAATCAAGTTTAAAATCTGCCTGGCTGTGAAAGATGTTGGCCTTCTTCCTCAAACTCTCCCCTTCATTTTCTCCCATCACACAAACCACGTTAACCATTCACTCCCTTTTTTGTTGGTTTTTTTTTTTTTTGAGGGTCTCACTATGTAGCCCAGGCTGGCCTCGAAGTCACAGTGATCCCAACTGGCTCAACCTCTTGAGTGCTGGAATTACAGGCATGAACCATCACGGCCTGTGTCCATCCATCTTTTTACCCACAGACCCACTGAGCTTAGAGAAGTTCCTACAACCAAGTACAATCAGCCCTCTGTATCCACGGATTCCGAGTCTATGTATTCAAGCAAATGCAGATTGAAAATATTTGGGCGGAAAAATTTGTATCTGTATTGAACATTTCTTGTCATTATTCTCTAAACAATATAGTATAACAACTATTATTATTACTATGTAATAGTAAAAGGTATTAAAAGTAATCTGGAGATGATTTAAAGTACCCACAAAGATGTATATAGATTCTAAGCAAATGCTATGTCATTGTACATAAAGGACTTGAGCATTGGCATTTGGTATCCTCTGGGGTCCTAGAACAAATCCCCCACATGTATCAAGAGACAACCATACATCATCTCCCTCCACTGAAATCACAAGTGGCCCATTGAGAGCTGCCAACCACTGCTAACAACTCTCAAGCCACTCTTCCTCTCCACCAATGGAGCAAACCAAAGTACGCCTCCAAAAAGGCCCTTCCACTGCCAGAATAGATCCCCCCAAGCTAATGCATTAATTGCACAAACTTTACCCATTATAGACCCACCACAGCCTTATGAAAGGGCAATTTACATCTCCTTTTTACATATTTATAACTAGTGGTAGAGTAAATTTAGAAACCAGAGAACCAATTAGGAAAGGATTAGAGAGGAACCTCTGTAAGCAAATAAATCAACACAGTGAAAAATGAGAACTAACAGCTAGGAAAAAGTAAAAATGTTAAAAAATAAAAGCCAACCTAGGAATTGTTCCAAAATAACAGACTGAAGCCATTTAGCTAAAGCTATTAAATGTTCCTATTCATCCAAAATGACCTAAGGGCATCACTAAATTAGAGCCCAGCTATAGTTGATAGTTCTAAGGCATCAAGAAGATTCCTATCTTTTTATATTCATTTTAAACACAAAGAAGTTGTGTCATAATTTTGACCAATGTTTTTCATCCAAAGTAGTTAAAATTAACATTTTGGCTTAAAAAGGAAGAAAGCTGAAAAATGCTACTGTGCCCAAACAAATCAACCCTTAAAATTTTCACAGGGCTAAGATTTCACTTTGGGGACCTTGCACTTGCCAGCTAGGCGGCAGAACCACTGAGCTAAATCCCCAGCCCTAACCTAGCATTTTCAGCAGTTACTGTTACAGGCTTTGATGAGCGAAATATGGGAAAAACAACATATAGAAAAATACCACATTTATTTTTAAATTAATTTTATTGGTGCACTTCTGATATACATAATGATCACATTCATTGTAAGCAATTTGTACCTGTACATGATATAGCTTGATTTCTTTTTTTCCCCATTCCCCTCCCCTCCCTTCAACCCCTCTTCCCTTCCTCATTCACAAAAACTTTGTTTCCATTTTTTTTCTTTTCCCTTCTTTCCCTTCCCTCTACCCCCTCCCTTGTTCCCCTTCCATTTGAACATTTTATTCCTACTTCCCAAATACTACCTTTTATTCAACCTCAGAACCTATCAAATTGGCAAAATCATTTTTTCAATGTGCTAACACCCAGTGTTGGTGTGGATATAATATAATAGGAAGAGCTTGGTGATATTTATCAAAACTTAAAATGCAAGTTAGGTACTGATACTCCCCAGCTAGGTGGGAGGCTGAGATGGCCTCCCACCTCACTTAAGCCCAGCAGTTCAAGGTCAGCCTAGGGAACATAGCAAGGCCCTGTCTCTAGGAAGAAAGGAAAAAAACCCCACAACTTAAAATGCACACAACTTTTACCCTAGCAAGTTCATTGCTATAAATTTACCCTTTGGATTTATTCCCCCAAATATATCAAATTAAACTGGGTATGGTGGCACACAACTGTAATCCCAGCTCTGAGGGAGTATGAGGGAGGATTGAAAGTTTGAGTCCTGTCTAGGCAACTTAGGGAGACCTTGTTTCAAAATAAAAAATAAAAAATAAAAAAGGATGAGGGTGTAGCTCAGTGGTAGAGCACCCCTAAGTTCCATCCCCAGTACCACAAAACAGCAAAAATCAAATTATTAGTTCAGAGGGCCAGGGATTTAGCTCAGTGGTTCCAGTGCCTGCCTCTCAAGCGCAAGGTCCCAAGTTCAATCCCTGGTACCAAAAAAAAAAAAAAAAAAATTAGTTCAGAGACATATATTGTACCAGGTTTTGTTCTATCACAAAAGCAAAAGCGTGGCTGGCCATGTCATCCCAGCACTCAGGAGGCTGAGGACTATGAGTCTGAAGCCAGCCTGGGTTACAAGCAGACTGTCTCCAGAAAAAAAAAAAAAAAAGAAATAATTTGAATATTCATCAATAGGGGACAAGTTAAGGGATATTGCAATCACAAAATCAGTAATCAGCTGTGAAAGTTGTCAGAATCAAAATGAAGTCCCTTGTGTCAAGCCCACATATCAATCCAGGAGGGTAGGAAAGAGGAGATTTCATGTTTATTCCTGGTAACAAAAACTTTCACACACACACAAAGAAAGACTGCCACAGCCACAACCTTGCACAAAAGTCACTGCAACTGTACACAAAATACTTCTGCAAGGACACCTGTCTAGCAAGTGTTTAATCTCCAATTAATGCCACCCTCTTTATTGATCTTTGTAGTCAAGGATTACTCTTTCAAAGTATCCTATGTTAGGGCCAGGGATTTAGCTCAGTGGTTTTGCTGCCTGCTGCGCAAGTGCGCAAGCACAAGGACAAGAGTTCAATCCCTGGTACAAAAAAAAAAAAAAGTCAAAATATCCTATGTAATCTTCCTCATTTT